AACCAGAGAGCTTTAAAATGTCCTTTGATGAAATTATGGTGGTAATAGAGGAAAGTGAACTTTTAGAAATGACTTTATTTGGGACTGCCTGGGTGGCTCAGTTGGTTAAGCATCAGCCTTCTGCTCAGGTCATGATCCGAGGGTCTGGGGATCAAGCCCTACATCAGGCTCCCTGCTCAGTGGGGAATCTGCTTCTCCTTCTCCCTCTGTTCCTCCCCCCACCCCCACTTAAAAGATATATATATATATATATAATAAAATGACTTTACATAGCAAAATATACTTGGCAAAATTAAGAGTTGATAACTGAATTTCTTACAAATTGTTTCTTTTGTTAAAGTCTCTGAACCACTGGTATATTTCTAACCTCATGTCCAACGTAAGAAGTCTTTGTATAGCACTGCTGACAAATCCTCACCTAGTTCCCTATTTAAACTCCTTTAATGAGAGTACATTCAGATATCTAAGTAATAAGTTGAAGTAGTGATGGATAAAGGATAGTGTAGTACAGGTCACAGTGGAGAGACAGGTCCTTGACACACTAGACATATATTACCACCTTAGTCAGTCCCAAAATGGTACATGCACATCTGAGATTTAACAAAAGGTGGAGATCTTGATTTAAAATGTACAAAATAGAACTACATTTTATTGAGCATTTACTATCTATGTGCTAAGTGCTTTACATAAGTGGGCTTTAGTCCTTGCAGGCCAGCTTGGTATTCTCATCCCTGTTGTAAAAATGGGAGTGAGACTTGAAGACTTTGAGAGTGAACAACTTGCTAAGCCACAATGCCAGTAAGTGGCAAGGCTGACCTCAGAAAGCAGGCCTTTGAGAATCCGAAGTCCTTTATATTTTTCATTATTTTTTTTAAAAGATTTCTTTATTATTTAGGGGGAGAGGGAGAGAGAGTTGTAAGCAGACTCCAAGCTGAGTGTAAAGCCTGATGCTGGGCTCAAACTCCCAACCCTGAGATCACAGCCTGAGCTGAAACCAAGAGTTGGATGCTTAACAAACTGGGCCAGTCAGGCACCCTGAGCATCTAAAACCCTTTAATTCAAAGCTTCCATTTCCATATTTAAAAAGAAAACAAACCAAGAGAAATCCAGTGCCCTTTTTTATTACAGGACAGAAAATCTCTACAGTAGCTTCCTAGTACATGAAGCATCTGCTCATGTTTGAAAACTTTAACCCAAATCTCACACCACATTTAAATCACAAAGTAAGCTTGCCAAAACAATTCAAGTGTGTTGGTTCCTGCCATAACCTGTGTTTATGAACAACTGTTTTTAATGCATTTTTACACCTCTCAAAATCCTTTGTCACAGGGGCCCCTGTCATAGGAATTAGCCAGTTTCTTTTGTAGTATAGATGTTAATAAATGTTAGTAGATGTGTTGTAGATGTTAATTAAAATTTAAATAATATAAATTAAATTCATAAATATAAATTAAATAAAATTCCTGATTGTTTTGAAGTCCTTGAGATTCTAGGATGCTATATATTTTAGCATTCCTACAGCACTGTATACTTCTAAAGTAGTTTATAATCATCAGTTAGATATTTCCCACACAATCTCAGTGGAATAGACTGGTATTCTTGTTATTCTACTGAGAAGAGAGATAAAACCAGTTTTACTTGCAGTTTACAGAAGTCACTTTCACATTCTAGATTAACATTCAATTTAAAGTTCCTAGTTTTATGATGAGTTCACAGGATGATGCCTTCTCAAAAAACTGGTGATTTTTTTCAATTTTCCTGCAAATAGATTGATTTCTGGTTGCTGGGAAAGCTGGGGATGGCCGCATTCCATGAGCCCAACCCAGCAGAGCTCAGAGGCCATTTCAGCTGAGTGTTTATAGGGAGCATGTTTAAGATGCGGGTGAAAACTCCAAAGTCTGAAATAGTAAACCCCATCCCCTTTTTCTTCCTAGTTTTTTAATGTCTTCATAAACTGGGTTTGTGTCACAGCCTTATCCTACCAAATATTACCCCACTCTCATTTCCCCACTTTACACCCTAAATTGTGGCTCACATCTAATCTAATGTACCTACGAGATCAGGTTCTAATGGCAATCCTACCCACATTATACCCTATCATTTTCTTCCCCCGTCCCTTTTTCCTCTCACCTAGAATAGTACAAAAATCTCATAATTGCTTCCCTGTCCGCAGAGCCACTCCCTTATACTCCCCCTTCCTTCATGCTGCCAAAGTGAATTTTCCAGAAATGCAAATCTGAGACTGTCTCCTAACCTAAACTTTCCAGTGGCTCCCTGGGCCTAGGGGTTGAAGTCCAGTCCTTAACATAGCGTTTAAGGGGGTTCCTTTATGACTGGTCCTGTGAACCTCTCCCCCATCATTTCCATTCACTCCTTTCTTTAGACTTATGCACTAGAATTACTTATATTCCCCATGGTCCCATGTATTTCATGCCTGTGAACATTTTTCTCACACTCCTTTTATTTAAATTCATCCCCCACCTCCTTACATTTATTTCATCAACTGCTTAATTCTTCTTAACCTGTTACGATTAGACTCAGCAGTCAACAGCAAGAAATCTTTCTTGAACCAAGGTGCCTCAGTGCTATCATGGTACCTAGTATGTAATGGGCACTTAATGAATATTTGATTATTGTAGCTTTCATTTTGCCGCATTTATGCGTGTCAAATCATTATTTTGTACACCTTAAGCTTATATGTCATATGTTAGTTATATCTCAGTGAAACTAGAAAACAATACTTGATGAATGAATGACCAATTTACATTTCTGATTTCCCCCTAGATTCTACGCCCCTTGAAGATAATAACTTGTTATTCATGTTCATATACTAAGCATCTTGGACAGTGCATAACAGATAGTTAATGTTTTAAACTTCTGTGTCTTCACATGTCTTTTCTCCTATATTTTCAAGAACGTTAATTTGTGCTACTAATAGACTTTATATAAGGTACTCTTTCACACAACCCCTTGGCATAAAATTCACTTTAATTTAATGAACATTTACTGAATTCTATGCCAAACATGGTGATAGAGATTGCAGTTCAAACACATAGCAAGAAATATGACTTGAACAATAATACAAAGTATTAAGTCCTAAATTAGAGTTTGTATAAAGTCACCTTGAAACAAACATGGAAGCAATTCTGCTCAGAGAGAAGGTCACAATTCAAGGAAAATGATAGAGTAAATACTTGAGCAGACTCTTGAAAGGATTAGGAACAGTTAGGAAGTGGCCAGGAATACAGGCCAAAGGAATGGCATAAGCAAAGGACTAAATATATTTGATGCTTCTGATGAATGGTGGTCATCTAGATACAGAAGGTTTGTGAAAGGGAATGACATCTAATGACGCTAGGGCTAGACTGATACTTTAATTCCAACTCAGTTGGGATTTTAACTTATAAGCAATGAGGGGCCAATGAAAGACTTTTATTTATTATAGCTTTATCATAGAGTAAGATGTATTATAAGATGATTGATGGCCGTGACAATGTATGTAATGGCAGAATGGCAGAGAATATAATGGCGGCAGGCAGTAATACAGTAGAGATGATGAGACCATGTTGTGATAATAGCAGTAGAAAGAGAAACAGATAAGTGTGAAGGGTGTGGTGTGGTGGATTTGTACTGGATCAATTTAAACTTAGACTATATCTCAGAATCCCCTTCCCTGTATAGTTTCCCAGTCCTAGCCACAAGAGACATGTTGCACATTTGGAAGGCACAAGGCAAGCAGACGCTTGGAAGTTAGCATGAAGGCATTCGAGTGTCAGTAATGTGTCCTGTTGCTGATCTACTGGCTCACTTCACTGGTATGAATTAACAATGGAACCTGCAGCTTCTCCCACTTCTGCCAGATCTTCTCCTTCAGCGTCCCTGAATCCTGGAGCAAGCACAGCACCAGACACATCCACAATAGCCCTACATAGATGGCTTAATCGGCTCCCACAATTATCTAAGGCCGAAGGCTATATGAGTTTTGTTGGTCTTCTCTGATAAAGAATTTTCTGCTATAACAAAATACACCCATGTAATGGGTTTTGGGACTAGGACTCAGGTTAAATTAGAATTTTTATTTTTATTTTATTATTTATTTATTTATTGAGATTTTATTTGAGAGAGAGAGAGAAACCGTGTGTGTGAGTGGCAGGGTGGAGGGTAGAGAGAGAAGGAGAGAGAATCTCAAGCAGACTCTATGATGGAGCCCAGCTTGGGGCTCAATCCCATGACCCTGAGATCATGACCTGAGCCAAAATCAAGAAATCGGGTACTTAACTGACTAAGTCAGCCAGGCACCCCTAGAAGCATCCAATTATGATTTTTGTGAGATCCATTATTTCAGTAGGATTTGCAAAAATGGTGATTTTCCTAAATCTATTTTTTCCCTCCTCATTTATAAGCTTTTATTTTTTCTTTGAATAGGAACCTTATTAACCCTTAAGTTATACTAAAAGGTACTTATACTGGAAAAGCAGAATAGATGCTTCATTTTTTTCCTTTATCAGTTTGCAGACTTATGAGTAAGTTTCTCAGCAATCCCTTGGTAATCAATGAGTTTCTTTTATTTTTAAAATACCATTATGAACTCCTAGATTTTAATGTGTTTTCATATGTTTCATTCTAGATTATTGTTTCTGATCCTCAAATTTCCCATTTTAGACCAGTGGGAACCTAACCTCTAGAAATTGGTTTTTGTGTCCTTTTGATGTGTGATCTCACTAGTCTGATAACGTGCATGTCTCTGGCATTAGAATCTAGCATAAGATATCCTAGGCTCATTGTGTATATTTCCTGCCCCAAATCTGGAATCAGCTATTTCTTCTTCCTATCTTTTTCACAGGTAACACTCTGATGCCTCCTATCTTCAACATGGTAGATCTCAGAATGTTTTTGTTTCCATGACACACCAGTTCTGTAATTAGAGGTTCTAAAGAGGCACATAAGGAACTTAATCCCTAGTGATTACCTTCTCCCTCTTATATTTCTCTTCTAAGCCCATGAGTGAAAGGTTGCTATTAAGAGCACTGAAGGGTGGTGAAAATACTAAGATCATTACCTTGAATGGGAAGAAGATAACAAAGATGCCCTCAGCATTAGAAAAACTGCCTGGCCTGAAGACTCTAGATCTTCGGAATAACCAAATCCCCAAGGTGTGCCCGGAAATAAGCACCTTGACCCAGGTAAGGAATAGCATAGCATTTTGGATTGAGGTTGGAAAATAGGAAGAGAGAAGAGAGGTGAGAGAAAAATACGGCTTTGTTCTCTGGAGACTTAGCTCCCGGGAGACTTACTGTGGAGTGTTGTTGGAGAGGCATCAAAAAGCTCTCTTCCTTTGGGGATTACATTTGGTAGGGGAGAAGATGTTCCAACGTATTCATGTGCACATCTGGAATCAGAGGATTAGGTCCCTGACACACTCATCCTTCTGGAGGCTGTCATCTGGAAAAGGCTTGAGAGCCTGGAGCTGCTTGTCTACCTTGGGGGCTCCATCTGGAAGTGGAATTGAGGACCCAGGAGATGCTGTTCACCGTGGAGACTATCCTGAAGCTTTGCATATGGAATGAAGAGACTTTTTGGATGTAGCAAGGGGGTTTCCTTTCAATTTCCTAGAGCTGACTGAACTTTTAAATGAGAGCATTGGCAGCAAATAGCAAGGAGGAAACATTCATTTCTTCTGAAGCAGTCTTTAAAAGAAGGTTAGTATTTTTAAAAAAGAATACCCTTCTTAAAAAGCAACAGTTGACATGAATGAATCCCAGATGCTTGTGTTAAACATTTCTGCCCGACAATGTGAAACCTCAGCTGCTAAAAATCTTGAGGTTAGGAGAAGGCAGGGGTTTTTAATTTTGCTGTTTTCTTTGTGTTCACTTCTAAACTGTCACCAAGCACTGAGAGAACCCATGAACAGTAAACTCATTGCAGTTCATTGGTTTTGAGTTCAGAGTTACCAAAAAAACAAAAACAAAAACAAACAAACAAAAACAACTTACCTTCACCTATCTCATTTCCTTTTAGAGTCACAAAATTATTTGAACTTGTAATCTGTGGTCAAGTCTTTAAAAAAAAAAAAGAGCAATATTCACAAATTCCTCCCTTTGATGGTAGCTTCCAAAAGTGCATATATGGTCACAGGACAAAGATTCGGACTTTTCTCACAGGACAGAGGAATTCCTATGCAAAAGAATTTAGGATTTGACTGAGCCATGAGCTGATTTTCTTCCCTTATTTGACTTTTTTTTCCATTAAAGTAACACAGTGCATTGTTTTAAGAAAATAAAATACTACCAAAGGCTTATAATAAAAAGCTACTATCTTCTGTCTCACTCTCCCTCACCCCCAAACCTGATCTCCATATGTACACATTTTTCACTCATCTCTTTTTCCTTGATTTTTCCATTTTAGATATCATTCTTCTTCATTCTTCCAAGTACTATTACGAGACTTAGTTTCTCCATAGTTATATTTTATTTTTTTAAAAGATTTTTATTTATTTATTTGAGAGAGAGAGAGAATAAGAAAGAGAGAGAGAGAATGAGAAGAGGGAGGGTCAGAGGAAGAAGCAGACTCCCTGTCAAGCAGGGTGCCTGATGCGGGACTTGAAGTGGGACTCGAAGTGGGACTCGAGCCTGGAACTCCAGGATCATGACCTGAGCCAAAGGCGGTTGCTTAACCAACTGAGCCACCCAGGCACCCCCACAGTTATCTTTTAAACTTACTATTACTACACCTTCATTTCTTCTCTTCACAACTGCAGTCTGTTTTTAGTCCCCATTTCGTAAGATGACCATATCAGCATCTCTAATCCATCTTGAGCTCTCCTTCCCTCCTCACCAAAAATTTCAAACATTTTACTTTTATAAGATGTATACCATTTACACTGTATTGAGTTATAAATGTGGTTAAATATTTTGTCTCTTGGGGAACTCTAAGATGTTTATCATTAATATCATTCATGCAGAGTCAATTAATGTATTATGATTATATTTTCTCCCTCATATCCCATTTCTGTTCCCTTGGAGTTGCCAGTTTCCTTTTATTCTCGTGTCTTTTGCCTTTGTCATGGCCTTGTTTTATTTCAAACTTGATTATATTACATATTCTAGCAAATGTGTTTTTTCCTTGAGTGACTTCCCCCCAGGGCCCTCCATCCTACTGTCCCAGTCTGAGCTAATTACTACATAGGTTTGCTGGATACTGTCAGGCTAGGGAGGCTCTCCTGAATTGGACCCATTGCTTCCTCTGGCCCATATTTTACTCATTCTTGGTTTCCTTTCTTATTTTGTCAGAGTAAGTCGCCAGATACTATCGTCATCTGGGTATGTGGTAGTTCAATTTTTTTTTTTAACTCTTGCATGTGTAAAAATGTGTATTCTTCCTTCATATTTGGTCAATAGCTGTTTAGTAAAAAAAAAAAAAAAAATTACAGACTGTAAAATATATTTCCTCAGGGAAAAAAGCCTGACTCTATTATTACTTTGTCTTCTTCTTGTGGCTCCCCCTGTACTTTCCTCCTTATCTTTCTATTTATGAGAGCCTCTAAATTTTGACTTCTGTTTCCTCACAATTTCCTTAAACAGGGACCTGGATAAGCTCAGCCCTTACTTTTAAAGAAGAATTCATCTGATTTAGAAAACAGGTTTCTTGTGATCTACATTTAAAGTGCCTTACAAGTCAGAGTCAAGCTAATGTCATTATTGTTTAGCTGTTCATGAACTAGCAATTTTTCTCATACAGAGTCTCCCCAGTGTGGAATTTTGAAAAAAGTCCATCTCCCCTTTATAACAGGAGTTGTAGATGCAGCTCAAATAAAACGTGCTAGAAGCCTTCAAAAAGATACAGACTGTTGATATGGTTCAGAATACCACACAGTCAACCTCAAAGTTTCTAACAGAAAGGACAGATGATAGTTTCAGAGAGAGCTAAGAGGGGCTGCTAGCCCTGGAGGAACGTTTGGGTGACCTGAGTATCTTAACTGGTTCAGCCACATACCAGCTAAATAAAAGGGGCTTGGTCACCCTGGGTCTCAACTTCTGCCTCCATTTACTCCAACCACACATAAGTACTGAGCATCATCTATGTCTCAGGTTCTAGGAACCAGTGACTCAGCAATGGATGAAAATCCCTGCCTTCTTGGAGCTTCTGCTCCAGTCAGTAGAGCTGTAAGAAATCAACAAGCAAAATGAACAGGATGTGAGGCAGTGATCAGTTCTAAGGAGAAGACGACAGTAGAGAAGGCAGGCAGGACATGTTGTGGCATTTGAGCTGAAATGTCAAGGAATGATCTAAACCACAAAGTGTCTTTGTGATCTTTATAACCTGATGATATGTATATCATAGTTCCAAGATCATTCTTATTCTAACCACTTTCCATAAAACCCTTGAGTGTATTTTTCAAGAGTTAGTTTGAACTCTTTCCTGTACTGGTTCGAATCCTACCTTTTATGAGCAATTATTTAAAGTATCCCCCTACCACATTTCTGGGGGTCTATACTGTGCTTGCCTTTTGGACTATCCTTTTTTTAAAATCATTGTAGAAAGTCTAGTTTGCCCCAATATTCTGATTTTGGTCATATTTTCTACAAAATATAAAAATGGTCATGATATTTTTTAAGTTCCTAAAGCAAAAATAATACTCTTAAATTTCAGTACTTACAAAATCATATCAAATAGAATAACAGAATCAATCATTTCTTGAGGGCCAGGCACAATGCAAGGAATTCTGTTCATTTTCAAGGAAGTTACCACCCTCCTATTCTTAATAAAATATATGTATGGTTCAGTAAGAGGTTAAGTCACTTGTCAAGGTCACTCAACCAGTGAATACATCTATAAAATGAGGTCCCTTTCAAGGTTGCTTTCAGCCCTGTTTCATTTATATACTTAGTGTGTAATTTATCAGGCAGTGGTATTTCAACTTGTAGTTCCTAAAAACAAAAACTGGGTTAAAGAAAGGAGGTTTAAATGCTATGTGGATTGTCCCCACTTACTATTTGTTTACATATGCATTCTTTTTTTTTTTTTAAGATTTTATTTATTATTTATTTGACAGAAAGAGATCACAAGTAGGCAGAGAGGCAGGCAGAGAGAGAGGAGGAAGCAGGCTTCCTGTCGAGTGAGCAGAGAGCCCAATGCAGGGCTTGGCTTTAACCCACTGAGCCACCCAGGCGCCCCTACATATGCATTCTTTCAACAAACATCTACCATTCATCTTCCTGTGTCTGTGCTGGTCCCAAGGATACAAATGTGAAAAACACATGGACCCTATCTTCTTGTTTGAGGATTAAGTTAAATGTTAACATGAATAAAGCTCAATGCCTGGCACACAGGAAATTTTCAAAGTTATAGTTGCTATTATGATTAGTATTTCCACTGTAGAGTCACTGGCAACAAGCAGAAAATGGGAGGAGATCAGATATAGATCCTACCTGTTTCTTTGCTTATTTGGCTAGTGAAATTTGGGGAAATTTTAATCACTTCTAATGACATGAAGAAAATGCATTAATGCCCTGTAATTTATAGTGAATGCATTTGGTCTGTGACTGATGAAGGGCTGGAATGTCAACAATTTTCAAAGAAGCACTTTGTAACTCTTGAGGGCAGAGACCTGGTCTTGTCCCTAAGTTCCTGGCACCTAGTAAGCCACGTAAGGTAGACTCGAGTGGAATGGGATGGAAGCCATTTTCAGAGTTCAGCTTAACCAAACACAGTGTTATCATAATTATGACATCACCTAGAAACAAAGTTCTTTCATAGGCAAATTGCCTATAGTTTTAAAATCCCCAGTGAAAAAAATAACCATCATCTCCTATTGTGTGTGGCATTGTGGACACACATCACAAGGTCCAATGGTAGTACAGCAATGTTCTCCTTATGAGGCTCACATAAGTTATGTGGCTGCCCAGAAATAAGATACGGTCTACCAGAGCTTTTTATTTGACCATAAACAATTGACAGTAAATAAGGCCAACCCTAAGCAGAGTTGGGTAGTTTTTAAATTTGTTATTGTGTTTCTAGTCTCTCCTTTTAAAAATTTTACTGTCCTTCTCAATGACCCCAAACACAATCAACTTCCTTTCTTCTGCCCTCCCTCCCTCCCTTGTTGGCTTGCTTCCTTCCTTTCCTTGCATCCGTCCTTTCTGCCAGTGGTCAGCAAATAGTTGTATGTGCCTGCAGTGGATGA